TTGAAGAACATGGAACTGAAGGTACTGATAAAAATAACACTGAGAAGAGAGGGGGGGACTGGTATTCCAGCAAATCCAATAAGGACAGCAGACAATTATGATTGCTGACTCAGCATGTGGCTACTTGCACACTCCACCTTGGTGCATTCATTTCAGATTACTTGTCCTGCTTCAGTTCATGATTTAAGGAGTTAACTACAGTTGAAACAGAATTTTCAAACTCCCCTTACGTGTTCTTCTCTAAGGAGAATGCAGCAATTGAGATTCCTATACCAAATTATTTTAATTTGTTGCCCATGCTTCTGGTAGAACTGTCAGTTTCTCCTCTGGCCTTGCTATTCTAATTCTACCATACTGTTGTCAGCAACACTGAAGAGCTGCTCAGCTAAGACTTTCCTTGCTATCTGCATCTGCAGTTGCATAGGTAGAGGTTGTACTGTCTGCTGTGGGGTACAGGTCCTGTTTTCAATCTCACAGTCACACCTATTTACTTCCCCATAAACACTTGGGCAGGAACATGGGACAGGGAGTTACCCAATTCCCAACCAGCTGTAGCCAGCCAGAACTATATTGCAGTGTGGCATATTTACTCTGGTGTCTGGATGAAGATTACAAGTGAAATTACATTACTTTATCTGAGGTCAAATAATTTTCATATTTTCCAGAATGGGTTAAGCAAATGAAGGAATTCCTCAGTGAGAAAAGGAATGTTTTGGAGTAATTCCTGAGGTAGATGTAAAAATACTAAATAACTTGTTTAATGTTGGACTAAGAGTCCACAGTAGCTACACTGATTAAAATTGCAAAGCAGCACAATGAGAACTTGGCATCCTCTGCTACCCCAGATGTCACAGAAAATGTGTTGCTCAATGTGTGTCTTACTAAGGACCAATAGCTCCAGGAGGACTGAGCACTATTTCCCTTTGAGGGAAATAAAACAATACACTGAGATCTCAGGCTCACAAATACATACAATTTATGTATACAACTCATTCTTAAATTCCTGCATCCTACAATGAAAAGAGTTTCCAGGTCTTAAATGTAGAAGCTGCAGGCACATCAGAAAACATCTTTATTTGATTAAAATAATTCAGGTCAAAGAATCGAGACTTGCTGAATCATAGAAGTAAACTTTCCAAGGCTGATTTCATCTACATGTCCTGAAACTAGCTATCATCAGTTGGATAAAACCCCACCTGATACAACCTGCTAGGAAATAAATGCAGCCATGGAACCACATTCATGAGTTTTTCTCAGTAAAGATCAATAGAGCTAAAAGTAACATAAAGAAAGCCCACTGTATTAAGAATAAAGCAAAAATGAAACATTGAACATGAGCTTTCATTGAGGGATGACACAGGCACTGCATAGGGGCACACACAGGGAGAGAGGTTCTGCCTGAGCTGCCAACGTTTGTACCAGCTGAAGATCTACTCCAAATGTTTAAAGGAAGTGGTTTCATCACTAAACCCAATTACTGGGATTGTGTGATTTGCTGCTTTTTTGGTAGGTTCCAGTTTCTCCTGCCAAGCTAGGAAGCTGTGCTATGAGCAGCTGGTACTCCAGGACTAACAACTCCACCACCAATTTATCCTCTAATACTCAAACTTCCGACGTCTCTGTAACACAGAACCACAGAGGGTAAAGTATCACAAGTTCCTTCTCCATGCCTATGAAGACTTACCCAGCTTCACAAAATGACCTTTGTTATAAAGGGATTTACACTGGTGTCCTTGGATGCAACAGATGGTCAGGATGAGCTGCTGCCATCAGCATTTTCCTTTAGTCTGTGAAATTATTCACATAGGCCCCCCAACAGTGGGAGCGTTCTCTCAGTTTAAAAGTGAAAGCAGATCACTTAAAAGATGGGACAAAACAACAAGTGAAGCAGCAGTGTCTTTAAAAGACACTGAAATGGGCTGGATTTTGTGGTTATATAAAAGCAAGAAACACTGTCTCAATCTGATGTATGAATTAAGTGCTTTACCTTATCAACAGGAAATATGAACACATTTCCTACAATTATTTCCTCCTGCAAATCACTCCCTGTAGGTCTCAAAGGAAACACCAGATGCACCCAAAACAAGTTTTCATTTCTTTGCTGGCTGTTCAAAGAAAATGCAAAACTGTTTTGTTTTCATTTCTTAGTACCTCACTGTTTAGACAAAACACTTCCTCAGCAAATCTGAAGTACTTTACTGGCTGGTGTCATTATCTTTACCTACAAAGTGAGGTCATGAAAAGAAAAGCAAGGGCAGCTTTACAGTTGTACCCTGTTCTCATGAGCCACTGTATTATGCCACACTCCTGAGCCACCCCCACACCATAAACCCAGCAAACCTATTAACCTGTAGCAGGGACTCAGTTATTTGAATGGTATCTTACACTGTGGGAACAGAAAGGGGAAATCTTGTTAAAGATGTATAAGCATTTAACTGAGCAATCTTTGACACGTCCAAGTTTTCCAACTGATGTACTGCCAATGTGTTTCTTTTGTTCATCTCCAAGATTTATGATCTTGGTCCTGTGACAGGCACTCTGTTCCCTCTAATAATTTGAGCAGGTTGAAGGGTTGACTGTTGGTGTGAACTGCTGGCTCATCTGTTACCTTATGGTGTTTTTAATTTCAAGTATTCTTGCCTAGAATGACACGCTTGTGTCAACACAAAACAGGCTTGGTGCAAGACTCACAATGGAATTTGAAACACTCTGTAGTGCAGAAACACTGGAATCCGTGAGCTTGGTTTCAAATCCTCCCAGGCAGATGCTTTCTGAGAAGCCTGCATCTGGTTTTCTAATCCCCCTGAAGTCTGAGAGTGTTCAGATCAGGCTTTCTGTCAAGCCCCTGCCCTAACAAGCAGGGCTAAGTTGAACAAAGTTGTATTTGCCAAGGTATCCCTGGAGAGAACAGTGCACCTCTGCTGCCAAGTCCTGCCTCTCCAGAGCTGCAGGGGGTGGTGTCAGTTTTAACCTTAAATGGAATCTGAAAACAAATCTTTAAAGTTTACAGTCATTTAAAATACAAACAGCTTAGCAAGGCAGCCATTCAATACAATTTCTACTCAAACAATAAGACCTTTGAGAAAGACAAGACTGATTGCAATTAAAGACAGAGGGTAAAAAACCACTGTGATTTATAAAGTGCATGGAAAATGGCTTGGAGATTCAGGAATGACAGAATTTTGGAACTGTACAGGAAGAAAAATCATCCTAATCAGTGTTATAAAGACTTTTTGGTTATCCTTATAAAACAATTCTACAAAAGATGGGTTTGCTTCCACAGAATTCTATTAGTTTCATCTTTATTGAATACGGTGGGATATCTCCCACAAGCATAGTTAAAAAAAAAAATATATTAAGCCTGAAGTCAAGTGATGTTCTTCACTCAGCCATGGGAGAAATTTTTCAGTCCAGTAAGTATAACTTCAGAGTGAAATAAAAAAAAATGAGAAACTAATCAGGGCCATGAATCAGCCTCACTGGGGAACAACAGGGCAATGCAGAACTCTGATCTAATTGCTATCAGCGCTGGAAATCCAGCCCGGGGAGCCCACACTGCTGAGTGCACACAGAGCAGACAATTTTCTGCTGCCCTCTGCAGGGAAGCCTTGGGCCTTGTCATCCCCAGCCAGGCCTGAACAGGATAAACAGGCTCACAAAAGAACCTGGGAGTTTCCAGAGGAATTTTTACAATTATTGTAATTATTGGTGTACTGTTACTTCTACAGTAATCTGCACTCAACTTATCCTTATGAATATTGCACTTATAATTGCAAATCAACTTTTTCACTTGAGATGATGAGCCAGTTATTGGCATAACTGAGGAAATTTTGATGGAAATATTAATCCCTAGATAACTCCATCACATGGGAATGAAAGACCAGGCCCTCTTTTTTGCAACCTCAACACTGTTTCCACTCTCCTTTGACTGTTAGGTACCAAAATATAACAAGGAATTGAAAGGTACCCAAAGAAAAGCTATTGTCTCACAAGCTCTTGCTCTTCTGTACTCTCTAGGAAAATATTAAGGAAATATCACTGTGTCATTCACTTCTTCCTTCTAACCTAGTGTATGAATTATTTTGATCTCATACACTGGATGATTAGCAAAAAAGGAAAAAGGAAGCAAAATAAAACGCCATTGTACAGTGCTTCAGTTCAGTCAGCGTCTAAACACAAAGCCATGAAAATGTTTTTGATATAAAAGTGTTCAATGAAACATGAGCATGTTGAAAGTTATTGTTACTCAGCCACTCAATCCCCTTCTGTACTTCCTTTCAGAACACCTCCTTTAACTCCAGAGCAGAGGTGAGGAGGATATGGTTCTAGTTCCTCCTCTTCTCTGTGCAGGTATTTTGTGTTCCCATCTCCTCATTTGCCACATCACAAACAGCAGAACAGCATCAGGAACCTCAATTCACTACTGTCTGCAGGACACTGAGATGATATGCTGAAATATATGTGTGTGTATATATATATATAAGCAGAGATGTTTTCTTTGTCATTGCATATCTGATGTTGCATGAGAATGCAATAAAGACAACTGTGGGACTCTAGGGTAACATGCCCAAACACACGAAGGTCTGATGTGGAGAAATCTTTGTTGGGAGGCAGCCTTAGGCACCCAGCATTCCTGCTGGATGGAGTATGCCTTCCCTGTATATCAACACGTGTATTTGCAAAATGTTATCGTGTATTTGTAATTCCTTTATGCTGAAATACATCAAAATAAACACAAACAACTTGTTCTGTATTTGCCACAGCTGATTTTGTTAAACACCAGCATGAGAATCACAAATGGACTTTAGAACCATATGGAAATACAACAGACAAGCTGGAAGGAGGAAGAGTTTCTAAGCCATCCAAACCAATCTGACAGCATCAAATGTAAAGAAAACAAAACTAAAAGTAGCACAAAAACACAGGGATCAGCATGTCAAAACTGACAGAAGCCTGGCAAACAAGCTGAAGTTTAGAAATTAAATACTTCTCCTCAAGCAATTAATTAGCAACATAGATCTATATAATACAAACAAAAGCTCCAGAAATGCACTGACTCCTTACACCCAGCACCTGCACTCTTGTATCCAGAGCAAGGGTGGGCAGTTTATGAACAGCTCAGAAACAGCCTCAGCAAAACTCTGGAGAAGGTGTCACATTTCTGGCCTCAGGCCCAACTCTGCAAAAAAGCCAAGGGACTTGGCACAGCTGAAGAACATAATCCAACACAGAAACCAAACTTACTTCTGACCAGACTCAACCTCATTCATCAGCATCATCAAACTGGCCCTTCTCAACTGTTCTAACTCGTGGTGGAAACACAAGGCAAGGTGTGTGGTGACAGCTTGGGTGGTAAAACCAATCCTCCTTCCACACATATGAGCCGAAAACATTCTTTTCCTCAAAGCTTCCGCCGCAGAGATCGTCAGCATCTAAAGACAAAATAAAAGGTTTAAACCATGGGAGATACTCAGGAAAGTATTGGAATAGTTCAGCAGGTTATTATGGAGATCTATGGCACCTTCCAGTTCACTATTTCAATTTGATCTGCCACCACTCATCAATTAGACCTTAAAAAAAAGGCAAACAGAAAACTGAATTTGGCAATGCTCTCATTTTAAAGGAAGGTTCATGCCACACAGACAAAACAGTTTTCCAGAAAGCTCACTGAGGTACCTGGACATGTAGCAGGCACCAGCAGTTCTTTCACATCTTCCCTGGGAATAAAAGGCTCATGAAATTATTACTTTTATTTGCCTTCCCCCTTGCTGCTGCTTTCATAACACCACCCCAATGAGGAGTCCTGCAACCCTCTAAGAACTGGGTCACTGGACAGAATGGGAGGGTGGGGTCCTGGAAAAGCTTGGAACAACATTTCCACTAGGCTAGAATTAAGCCTAATGGGCCTGTATTTAACCAATCTAGCACAAAAATAGGGCAAAGTGTTTTACCAGAAGCATAAAGATTTCTAGCCAGGAGACTCTGAGCAAAGAAAAAGCCCAGAGCATGGCGGAGCAGAGGACCCAACACAACATCCCACGTGTCAGCCTTCCAGCAGCACTGCCAAACAAGCCAGCACAGCAAGAGCTTAGGACACTTAAAAAGCCATGAAGTGACCAATCAGGCACATTTTTGTATTTGTGGCACTTAACAACTCAAACACTTGTACTCAGTATCCTTCAGAAGGACCTGAATCCAATAATCACAGCTGCCTTCGTTTGTGAGGATTTAAAGAGCTGCAGGTGGGATGAACAAGTTAAACAAAGGGGGAAAGAGGAACAGTTCCAGTACAAAACTCAAAACATTCCATAAATTTGAGCACATAAGAGATTAAAATGAAAGCCTAGAATGGATGTGAGGGAAAACCTCCAAAAAGAGAACAGTCTTTCTCTCAGATTACCCACTGTGAAAAACCAATACTGTATTTCCATTTTAAAATCAGAATGGTTTTACAGAAAGGCTGAAAAAACTTTCTCACTTTCTTCTGTTACTAAACAATGGAATTTAAATACAAACATTTATTTTGCTCTCATGATTAAAATTTATCTCCTAAGCAAAGAAAATTATATTAATTACAAAAATATACACATTAATGAGAAGAAAATGGAAATGGTACTACTCTACATCAACAAAGACACAGCAGGTTATCAGTCACTGCTGGCTAAAATCCATCCACTCCTTCTGTGCTAAGAACCAGCCTGGCCAATGGAAAGCTGAGATTCTTTTAACATGTGAGTCACCATAAACGCAAGTTACAAACTGAAGGTATAATTCAACTCCAAAGGTGTGAGTGGCACTCCTCCTATTTGTTGCCATTTTTGTCCATGGGACTGATCATATGCACAACCATTTAGGAGGAACAAGCTTCAACAAAACCAAAGTCAAACAAACAAAAACCTCACTCAAAAAAACTACAGTAAACACAACAAACCATACTCAGAGTGCATGAGCACTGATCCAAACAACTCCATGCTCTAGAGAGACATTATAATGAACAGTCTTGAATTTTCTTGAAGAATTTTTGTACAAAGAAAGTTAGTTCTTGCACATCATGTACCTTTCTCTTCTGCTTCAGAATAGCAAAGATACATCACTGAAAACTTGCTTCACCAGAGAAACTCAACACAAACATGGAATTCACCTCCTTACCATGCCACTCCCTAAGAATTCAATTGCTCAAGCAAGAGCTTCATGTGAAATCAACAACATCACCTTTAAATCCTGTATTTGACAACAAAATTGTCAATTACACATCCAGGAGGTCAACACAAGAAATTGCTTCCCAAAATAGAACATGGAGTTACTTAAACACATTCTCCTGCAAAGCACCTACCTCCAAATATCTAAAACTCAAATGAAGCACAACTGTACTCACCATAAGGACCAGATGCAGCCTCCTCCAATTCTTTATCCCAGTCCTCCACCTCATGCTCAGATGCATCTTGCTGCCCTGAAGACTTGGGTACATTGGAAACTTCACCATCCCACACATCCAGGTCAGTATATATATTGCACCAGCCCTCATCAGTAGAGCCACTGATATCACCTTCATTGGGGGAGGTAGAAGCAGATTCACTTTCTTCAGAGTTGCCATCAGGAACATTTGGAATATTCTGCAGTACACATTCTAAAACCAGTAGAAAGCACCAACAGGTACACTCAGAAATTAGACAAGAACAATTAGCTGTTCAGCACACAGTAATTCAGAGAGGTACAGAAATACACTTTGTGACTACTAATCTTATTGTAATACATGCAGTTTCCTATGTATGTAATATCACTACAGGGCTGCTTCACATTTCAGATGCTTGGGAAGAGCGGACATAGCCTTATACCACAGCACCAGTGCAAATCAGGATTTTCTTGTTGGAAAATAACTCTGTAAACTAGGGCAAAGGACACAGAAGTCTTGTTTCACCACATTCACCTGTAGGTATTTTTAAAAAAAGTTATGGTTTAAAAAAAGAGTCATATTAATTACTCATGTATCTAGGCATACACAAATATCTACATGGAAATAATTTAGTGCAGTTAGTAACGAGGCCTTTCCCATGCAACACCAAAAGACTTTGAGCAGATTTCTCAAGTAGTGCACAAGTTCCAATATTTGCGACCTACTTTGCTTTGTCCTACCTTTTCTGGACTTCCAGATCATCATATCTGTCTTATTAGGAAGCTGTTTCCCCTCAGAGTTTGCAGCCTCAGACGCAGCAGCCATCACCTATGAGACATTTTTAAAGAATGCAGCAGCAGCTCTGATTGCTCATGAAACTGCTACCCCATGTGTTCCCGAGTGTCTCCATTTTTTCCCTTGATGAATCAGAGGTTCAACAACAAACAGGCTTTCACTTCAGAAGGCAAATCTGCAGAGCTATAGCTAATTCTGCTGCTGCCATCGGTCACCCCTAGCACTAACACCAACCCAGAACATTCCATCCCCTCACAACCCCGACCCAAACCGTGCCCCTTGGGGAGCGTTGGCCGCCGGGGGCCACGGGCAGGGCGCGGATCCGGGCGAGCCCTCACGGCGGCCCCGCCGCCTTCGCTGCCCGCCCTGCGGCCCCCGGGACCCCCGAACCTTCGGAGCACAGAGTGAAAGCACCAGAGGGAATTAAGACAGAAGGAATGGTAAAAGTATTAACACTGAACCAACCGCTCTGTGGGAGCCCACGCGCCGAGCAGGACCCTCCAACAAGCCCTGAGGGGCTGGACCAAGATGGGTGGAGAGCAGGAGGAAACCCTCAGCTGCTCTGAGGGGCGCACAGCGAAGGGGACAGCGCGTTCTCCTCACACTTATAGAGGAACAAGGAGGCGCCGGCGGTGGGCGCGGGAAGCCGGGGCCCGCAGGGGCCGCCGCCGGTGGCCACGGGCAGGGCGCGGACTCCGGGCGAGCCCTCACGGCAGCCCCGCCGCCTCCGCTGCCCGCCCCGCACTCCTCGGGACCCCCGAACCTTCGGAGCCGAGCCCGCGGCCCGGCCTGAGGGCACCATCGACCGCCTGGCCCCGCCCGCCCCTCGCCGGCCCTGGGCAGCGTCAGCCGGGCGGGCCCGCGGCTGTGCCCGAGGGACAGGGAGCGGCTCCGGGATGAGGCCGGCAGGGACGCCGCGACTGCTCCCGCTCCGGCCTCGGCGCCCGCAACGCCGCCACCGCCCAGAGCGCCCTGGCTGCGGAGCCCACCGTGCACAGCTTCGGAATCACAGACGCAATTCGGCTGGAAAGACCTCTGAGATCATCGAGTGCAACCATGACCCAACATCACCGCGTTATTGAGACAAACACAGGCAGGAAAGCTCTGATAAAGCACCTTTTCGCTCAAGAAGTTGTAAATAAAGTATCAATACCTCTCATGGCTGGGTGGAGTTTTCCCCTGGCCGAAAGATAACAATTTCCTTCTGGCCTCGTGGTAGCAGCATGCTCAGAACATGGAGAGACAGGAAGCACCGTGGCTGAACAGCTGTGCAGGTATCAAGCACATATGCTTGCAGGGAATGTGTATCCATGGGGAGAACTGCAAAGTTCTGTGAGGAACCAGAACAGCTGATGGAAAAGGGCCCACTTTCTGAAATGATGGACTTACCAGCTTTGTTGGACTTTAAAAACTCCAAACTTTGCACTTAAAACTTTTAGTTGAGCAACTGATGAAGTAAGAAGTGGTTCAGGAGAAGGAGTAACGGCATAAGGGGCAGGGAGGGTATAAGAGATTATTAGTAAGGAAATCTCAATGTCAGACAATGAGGTGGCAGAGAACTAGTGGGGATGTAGGAGATGGCCTGGCTAAAAGCTTGGGAAACACAAAAGCAGATGTACTTCAGATCTGGTCACAGAAGTAGGAGTCTTACCAGGCTGCTGCTCCAAACTCTATTCCCAGCTAGTTAAGTTACTGGAATCCATTGCTTGAGAGGAGCTGCAATTTCTACTTGAGTGCAAAATCAAGAAATATTTCCCTGTATTGTCATCATGTCACCCTTCAGTCACCAGGAAACTGCACAAAGGAACACTTGCTTCCTGTTCTTTTACTTTCCCTTCGTTTCTCTGTTGGTCCAAGGATAGCATTTATGTTGATTTCTCAGGTTTGTGGCTCTGTAAACAGCCAAGGACAGCACTTTCAAAAAACATTACATGTTTTTTAGGCACAGTGGACAGAAAGCTGAAGTGTAGATCAGAGTTTTGCACTCTCACCTCAAGGACATTGCTAACAGATCTCAGCTCCCCTCTACCCTTCAGCACTCTCATCACTCTCATTCTTTTTTGTCACATAAAATGTAAACTTTAATAAAGTCCAGGAACATATTTGCCTTTGTACAAAGAAGTTTAAAAACGCACAGTCATGTTACAACTATGTATAGTTTTTCATAAATGTCCAGTTTGCAATAAAGTGTATTTAGAAACAAAATCTTCCACCAGGTCTCCCTGCAACATCTTCATAGCTCGCCAGTGAATGCTCCCACAGTTTTCTGGTTTGCCTTGGGGATGACTTAGCTCCTCCTTGATATAATCCAGCCAGAGGTCTTTAAAAGAAAAATTAAAGTTCTGGTTAGATTTCAACTAAATATTACTTAACAAACATAGCAAACCTAACTAGAAACTCTTTTTCTAAGTGTCTTGAATATTAATGCAGTAGGGTTTACTTTGTGAAACTACAATCTCCTTTGCACCTTGAGGAGCACTCTGGGTTCTATTCCCAGCTGGAACAGTAATGTCTGTAGAAATAACACAACAATGATTGAGCTGTGTACTTTCTTCAAATGAATATTACAGAAAACTTGATTATAAATATATAGCTGCACACTGTTCATAAATCCAAATTAAAAGTGATCCACATCTCTTATGCCAGCCAGTGATTTGCCCCTAACTGTGCTGAAGCCACCCCAGTGCCAATGACCCTGGGCTGACAGTGGAGGGTCCCTGCAGTGTCCTGCTCTTGATGGCACAGAGGAAATGAGCTCCACTCTGCACGACAGCAAGCACAAGAGCAGAACAAACAGATACCTTTTAAAATGGATGGAAATAAAAGAGGCAGCAGTGAATGAATTAATAAATAATAAAAACCAGAATCGCCCTTACCAGTATCTGTTGAACCAAACTCCCTCAAGGCACGTTCATAGTATTCTCTCAGATGAAGCATTTTGCAGGATTCCTAAAAAAGGAAGGTATTAAAAGGCCACTTATTTTGTGCAGAAGTGAATCTGCAGCATGATTAGATTCTGACAAAGAAAGAGAGTCATGGCAATTACACACACACACTGCTGAAGATTAGTTACCATGGAACTTGGGTTTGTATCACATCCAGTGAATCAGCTGCAGAGGACAAACATGAACTGATCACAGACTGACACCACTGCTCTGCTTCCTATTTAAATCCCAAGTCAGAACTGTATTTTACAAATACAAAACATTAATTGGATAGTCAACAACTTACTTGCTCCTTTTCTATTTGGATCATCTTCCTGAAGAAGTCAAGTGAAAATGGACGATTTTCACACAGGCTGAAATAAAATAAGTGACTTTAGACTTGAGGACTTTTAGCATATACCCTAGAATAACCAGGTTTGAAGGTATTTTTTTTTACCTGGTAAAGAGTCTTTTAACTTTCTTATAACCACTACTTCTGTAGGTCCAGTCAAGATACATTTCCTTCATAGTCACAGATTCAGCAGGTGTCGTGGCATGTAAGGATCTCTGCAAGTTTAAAAGGAAAAAAACCAACAAAATAAACAAAAAATAAACCTATCACATAGCTTACAACTAAATGGCTCAATTAGTGCTTCTCCCTAGTTAGGCATCTGACACAAAGGAGATCTCCTAAGCCTAAAACACATTTCTCCTCCAGTATTCCATATAGCTGGAACTGGCACTTCCTTAAACCCCTTCATGCAGAGGGTTTCACAATACTCTACCAACAGCTGAATTCAAGCTCCCACCTGAAATACGTGTTTTATGTGCTAAATTGGAGAGGAAAAAACCACAACCCAACATGCCAGGCAAAGAGAAAATGTTTTGCCCTACACTACTGAGGAAATCCATAGTGAGACTGAAGTGCTTATTCTGATTTTGACTTTTCTGTAACAAGACTGTTTTCACACAAATTAAAAAATTCTCTTTTCTATGCTCAGATAAGCTCTGAAAACAGAGCAAATATTCTAGACCACAAAGTAGGAGTCCAACATTAGTTGTGCTTACAAACATCCATATGCCTCAGAACATGGGAATGACATTTGTGCTTATAAATCTATGTCCAACTGTTTTTTTAATGCACATAGTTTGGTTTGAAATTCTTTGATATCTACACATCCATGAAGGAACTTCAGTATAAAGCATTTTTTGCATGTTCCATCCACACACATTATTCCATCCACACACATTGTTCCATTTTATTGACACAGACATAAAAGTAGCTTTTGATTAGCCAAGTACCTGGTAGAGAGCTTCTGTGTCCTCCTTGCTGTTTGTGCCCTCACTCCATTGCACCCAGAGGGTCCACAATGGCAAAGTGCCCTAAAAGGTCAACAAACAATCAAATGGCTGAAATACAGTGAATTCTGATTTACAGAAACAGCAACATGGCCATCAGGTTCTGTATTACCTGCCATAAAAAATTCCCTTTGGACACAGCTCTTGGAAAGACAACTTTGAACTGCACATTGAAATCACTTCTCATTTCCCTCCTCACTTACAGGATAAATCATCCTTAGCTGGACAGCTGTGTTGCCAGGGATGAGAACCAAGTTCTGCACCACTGAGCACTGCAGTACACAGAGGTGACTTCCAAGAACAAAAAGGAAAGAACCTTCTTGTTTCCTCATTCATTGTGCTCAGGGTTTGAAATGGAACAGAGCAGGAGAGCACACAGCTAATTCAAGGCTTGAAATACCACACAGGTGTATCAGACAGTGAAGAAAAGGAAACGCATTTTCCATTAAGACACTAACACCAGCTCACTGCTAGGACAATATGTAAAATGTCAACTATAAGCATTCAGATTTTAAACATGTGAATTTTAAGTGAATTGACAACTCCCTAATACTTGGGAATGCAATTTGTATGTGAAATGTCAGGTTCTTATTTCTGACCTTAAAAATGGTTAGGGACTTTAAATGCCTTGTAAACAAAACAAAAACAACAACAAACAAAAAACCCACTAACCAACCAAAAAAAAAAAAAACCCACAAAAACAAAGAAAAAAATTTAAAAACCACAAAACAACCAATCATCAGGGGT